TTGTTTCCATTCTTTTTTCTTAAATTAATAAAATTACTTTCTGTTATGATTATGTGGTTAGGTTAATCATATTCATGCTAATCACGTGCGCATAAATTAAAATGGCGTCAAACCACAAACCCACGCGGTGCTGCAGCTGGAATTTGTCTTCCATTGTTCTCTGTCCTTGCTTCTTTTTGAAGCCACATGTCCAGTCCTTGGCCCAAGCTCAAAGGAATGATGTAAAAGCCAACTTGAACGGCTCTCTGGTTTAAAAGATTTCCGTGTTGATAGAAGAAGATGAAAGAAGAAGAAGAAAAAGTCTGAAGAATTTTGCAGAAATTTGAATTTGGGCCTATTCTCTAGAAATGCTCCCGCTACATTACAGTCCACTTTAAAGGTACCAGGAGAATCGCTCAGTGAAGGAGAGCTGATCTAAGCCATTTATAAGGCTGTACAACGTAAGATAAAAGAGTTGTGAGTGTTTGAAAATTATAAAAACGGCCGCCATCTTGAAAAATCAACCTCAATCCTACATATAGGCTACCGCCTATATAATACACTGTTGATTCATTCTATTAATTTTAAGCTGATACTAGAAAATTTGTTGAATTCACTAATACATCATTAACTCCAAATCCACTGATTCGTGGAAAAAAGTTTTAGATGCAAGGAACTTTTCATATCAGTAAGTTACATATTCACTAGTGGTATAAATCTTTATCTAGAGAAAACCATACAATGGGGTATACTGCATATCACATTGACATATAATTTCAAGAATTACATTAATATTACTTTCATTGATGACAAATTTAATTTCTGTGACTTCTTTCTCGATTTGACTAAGTTTCGTTGCCCAATAACACCAGGAATATATCAATTAAATCATACATGTCATGGTAATGATGCAGTTCCAGATCTCCTTTGGCCAGTGAGTAACAGATACAGTGTATCATTATTTCATAGGGTAGGTATTATGCCAAAGTTACAGTGCACAATGAGGAAGGAGAGGAAATGATTTGTAAAAGGACAGTAGTTATTATAAACTAAACTTCAAGTAGTCTAGTATGACTTGAATACAGTTACTTTAACATTTTTAATATCATTAAATTAATATCAAGAATACACTAATACTTAGACTGAAAACAAGCAAAAGTTATGTTAAGTGTCAAACTGCTAACTTGTAATACTAGTGTTGTTTTAGTTAATTATAACTTAAATCAAAACCCTTTTAGTTAGATCAGATTTACTTTTAGCTAACTAACTATGACTAACTGAATCTAAAAAAATTTTGATCAAAACATAATTTAATATGTACATGTACATGTAGATCAATATAATATTGAATCTATAAACATACATAATGGAATGCATTAATTGCCAATTACTAGAATTAGATTTAAATTAAAGTGCAATAACTTCAAAAAGTCGGTCAACAGCCCATGCCATGACCAATTATTTCCCCTTTTTGTACTGTATATGTATATTCTAAGCTTTGAAATCTCATAATTCTAGAATAAAATAACAAGATAAATATACAATCAGTACAATAGGGTGCCAGAAAACAGTCTATAAATGTAGCTATAAAATACCATAACCAGAACAACTGTAACAAACAAAACATAGTACATGCATAAATTAAATAGATTAAACAGCTACATCATCTCATAAATCAAGTGAAAGAGAAGATGGGTGGACTAGTAGAGTATATACTGTTACTTCTATCAGTTGTACTAGTAGTATCTACATTGACTGGATCTACTAACAATTACTACAATGGTAAGATACTGACTACTATACTAATGGATAATATATCTGTTTCAATTATATATACTATCAACAACAAGAACCTACAAAAGTCACAGATTGTTGTAAGTTCAGTATTATAATACACTATTGATTTATTCTATTAATTTTAAGCTGTTACTAAGAAATTTGTTGAATTGACTAATGCATCATTAACTCCTAATCCAATGACTCGTGGAAAGCCGTATCATTTGCAAGGAACTTTTAATATTAGTAAGTCACATATTCCCTAGTGCTGTAATTCTTTTTCTAGAGGAAACCATACAATGGGGTATTATACGAATCACAATGATGCATAACTTCAAGAACTATACTAATATTACTTTCATTGATGAAAAATTTAATTTCTGTGACTTCTTTCTCGATTTGACTAAGATTCGTTGTCCAATAACACCAGGAATATATCAATTGAATTATTTATCTTATGGTAATTATGCAGTACCAAAGCTCTTTTGGCCAGTGAGTAACAGATACAGTGTATCATTATTACTATTCTATTTCATAGGGTAGGCATTATGCCAAAGCTACTGCATACAATGAGGAAGGAGAGGAAATCATGTGTCAAAAGACAGAAGTTACCATAAACTAAACTGCATGTATTCCAATATGACTTGAATACAATTACTTTAACATTAAAAATATCATTAAATTAATGCCAAAATTACACTAATACTTAAGACTGAAAACAAGCAAAAGTTATGTTCAGTGTCAAACTGCTAACTTACAATACTAGTGTTGTTTTAGTTGATTATAGCTTAAACTAAAACCCTTTTAGTTAGGCCAGGTTTACTTTTAGTTGACTAACTATAACTAACTGAATCTTTAAAAAAATTGTGACGAAAACATAATTCAAAATGTATGTCTACATATAGATCAATATAAAATCAAATCCACAAACATACACAATACAATGCATTGCCAATTACTAGAGTTAAATTTAAATTAAAGTGCAATAACTTCAAAAAGTCGGTCAACAGCCCATGCCATAACCAATTAATTTCCCTTCTTTTACTGTATATGTATATTCTAAGCTGGAAATCTCATAATTCTAGAATGAAATAACAAGATTTAATGTATAGTTGCAGCAAAGATCAAAGGCCTAACAGTTGTGATAAAACCCACAGAACACTCCTACCAATACCGCAGTGTGATATTATAAATAGCACACTCATTTATTTAATGTGCAGCAGTGTGATATCAGTGATAGCAGAGCATGTGCAATCTTTGCTGGAACTATACATTAAAACAATTAATACATGTGGCGTCGTGTTCTATCGGATTTATCCGCACTTGCTTCCAGTCTCGTCGCTAAAATAGCGCACTCGGCCTTCGGCCTCGTGCGCTATTTTTAGCGACTCGACTGGAAGCTCGTGCGGATAAATTTAATAGAACACGCCGCCCCATGTATTAACTATTACAAATATACAATCAGTACATTAGGATGCCAGAAAATAGTCTATAAATGTAGCTATAAAATACCATAACCAGAACAACTGTAACAAACAAAACAGTAATAATACCAATAACAATAGTACATGCATTAATTAAATAGACTGAACAGTTACAACTTCTCACAAATCAAGTCAAAGAGAAGATGGGTAGACTAGTAGAGTATATACTGTTACTTCTATCAGTTGTACTAGTAGTATCTACATTGACTGGATCTACTAACAATTACTACAATGGTAAGATACTGACTACTATACTAATGGATAATATACCTGTTTTAATTATATATACTATCAAAAGAACCTACAAAAGTCACAGATTGTTGTAAGTTCAGTATAAAATACACTATTGATTTATTCTATTACTTTTAAGCTGTTACTAAGAAATTTGCTGAATTCACTAATGCATCATTAACTCCTAATCCAATGACTCGTGGAAAGGCATATTATGTGAAAGGAACTTTTTATATTAGTAAGTTACATATTCACTAGTATTAAGTTAATCTTTTTCTAGAAAAAACCATACAGTGGGGTATTGCACATATCACAATTATACATAATTTCAAAAACTATACTAATATTACTTTCATTGATGACAAATTTAATTTATGTGACTTCTTTCTCGATTTGACTAAGAGTCGTTGCCCAATAACACCAGGAACATATCAATTAAACTATACATGCAATGGTCCTGCTATAGTACCAAAGCTCTTTTGGCCAGTGAGTAACAGATACAGTGTATCAATATTACTATTCTATTTCATAGGGTAGGTATTATGGAAAAGCTACTGCATACAATGAGGAAGGAGAGGAAATGATGTGCCAAATGACAGAAGTTACTATAAACTAAACTGCATGTATTCTAATATGACTTGAATACAATTACTTTAACATTTTTAACTTTATTTTGAAACTATAACTAAGTAAAAGTACATAAAATTAAAACTTGGACAACACTAACATGCAGGTGTGTATGTGTGTATCATTGCATATGCACACAGACCATAATATAATTCAATGCATACATGTACATGTAGATCAATATAAAATCAAATCCGCCACCACACAATAGAATGCATTGCCAATCACATGTAGCTAGAATTACATTAAAAAAATTAACACACAATAATTGTAAAAAGTGCATCAACAGCCCATGCCATATGACCATTACGGTATAGTGGGAAATTTCGGGAGAAGTCAAATTTGGCAAATTGACAAAATTTGGTGAATTAGTGGCCACATGTGACATTGAACATGCGTATAATAGATCAAAATAGCAGATTATATTTTGGCAAATGGCTATCAAAACACCAAATTCACCAAAATTTCCTGCTATACGGTAGTTCCCCTTCTTTTACTGTATATGTATATTCTAAGCTGGAAATCTCATAATTCTAGAATGAAATAACAAGATAAATATACAATCAATACAATAGGATGCCAGAAAATAGTCTATAAATGTAGCTATAAAATACCATAACCAGAACAACTGTAACAAAACAAAATGGTAATACTACCAATAACAATAGTACATGCATTAATTAAATCGACTGAACAGCTACATCATCTCATAAATCAAGTCAAAGAGAAGATGGGTAAACTAGTAGAGTATATACTGTTACTTCTATCAGTTGTACTAGTAGTATCTACATTGACTGGATCTACTAACAATTACTACAATGGTAAGATACTGACTACTATACTAATGGATAATATACCTGTTTCAATTATATATACTATCAACAACAAGAACCTACAAAAGTCACAGATTGTTGTAAGTTCAGTATTATAATACACTGTTGATTCATTCTATTAATTTTAAGCTGATACTAGAAAATTTGTTGAATTCACTAATACATCATTAACTCCAAATCCACTGATTCGTGGAAAAAAGTTTCAGATGCAAGGAACTTTTCATATCAGTAAGTTACATATTCACTAGTGGTATAAATCTTTATCTAGAGAAAACCATACAATGGGGTATACTGCATATCACATTGACATATAATTTCAAGAATTACATTAATATTACTTTCATTGATGACAAATTTAATTTCTGTGACTTCTTTCTCGATTTGACTAAGTTTCGTTGCCCAATAACACCAGGAATATATCAATTAAATCATACATGTCATGGTAATGATGCAGTTCCAGATCTCCTTTGGCCAGTGAGTAACAGATACAGTGTATCATTATTACTATTCTATTTCATAGGGTAGGTATTATGCCAAAGTTACAGTGTACAATGAGGAAGGAGAGGAAATGATTTGTAAAAGGACAGTAGTTATTATAAACTAAACTTCAAGTAGTCTAGTGTGACTTGAATACAGTTACTTTAACATTTTTAATATCATTAAATTAATATCAAGAATACACTAATACTTAGACTGAAAACAAGCAAAAGTTATGTTCAGTGTCAAACTGCTAACTTGTAATACTAGTGTTGTTTTAGTTAATTATAACTTAAATCAAAACCCATTTAGTTAGATCAGATTTACTTTTAGCTAACTAACTATGACTAACTGAATCTAAAAAAATTTTGATCAAAACATAATTTAATATGTACATGTACATGTAGATCAATATAATATTGAATCCATAAACATACATAATGGAATGCATTAATTGCCAGTTACTAGAATTAGATTTAAATTAAAGTGCAATAACTTCAAAAAGT